AGGAGAAACGTTTCGGAATAAAGTGCCTAAACGTTGCCAATGTGTCTTACTTACCAACTTGTCGGTATTTTACACCATTTTGATATTTAACATGAATATTATAGATTATGCAACATAGATCAATTGATCTTCCTAGTTTATGTCTCCATGTCGATTATTGAGCATACCATATAACTTACCAGTATATTTTAACAAACTGGATCTGAGATCAGTATTCTACACTGAGGCTCAACGCAGGATATTACTGTAATCCATAATAATGATTAAAGCACATTAATATGCGGCGTCATAACTATAAAGTGGATTAAATACACAGATTTATAGTAAATACAAAACAGCTACAATGGCTACCACTTGTGTCCAGTGAATCCACCTGATTTTTGTCCGGATGGTGAGTTCGTAGTCAGGTTGGTTGATGAGTGTCAGCAGTGTGAGAGGCGTGCACAGTTCACTCACCACCCCGCCTACCCAGGCCTCCCGCCATGCTCCTCCCGCGGCATCACCCGCCCACCTGACAACATCCTCCACAGGAAGAGAAAACATTGCCGCCGCAGCCTCGTAGGATACGATTTGGTTCTGGCGAATAATAATTTACCTTGCCACTGAGAGCTCTATATAAATTTTTACATATATTAACGTCATTTTCCTATTCTATAACGCTATCATAATGCACGAAATTTTACAATAAAAAATTTAGACATATGAAAAAAACTAATCAGTAAGAATTAGCACGTGTTTTAATATATAAAATAATGGTGGGAAGACCAGCCATCCTGCTGGAGTTGTTAAAGTTGTTCTGACACGTTCCTAGGTAGCTGCTGTTCAACTTTTATTTCTCTATGCCTTTATAAATCAAAAATAAAATGGAGAAATTACTTATGGTATACAATAGCACTTGTACAATAAAAAGTAACAATAGCATACTTACTTTCTCTTTAATATTGTTGAGGCAAGTAACACCCCAGGTGATGCAAGCATAGCCAGTGGTGGTGGAGGGCGTGACGAGGGCGTGGGTGGAGGCCAGGTGGGCGTGGGGAGGTAGCGAGAGTGCGTGGGCTTCTCTCTGTGAAGAGGCCGCCGCCCTCCCTCCACGTAGTACCTTCACTCCCACCTTCACACCTGTGCTTAATAAAGTTTATAATTAACGTTGTTAGAATATAATGTATAATTATATCTTTTAAGAACAAACATTGTGCAATATTTCTCAGCTTCAAAAGTTACTGTAAAGAATTTTGAAAATTTTCATCCCTGTCAACAGTATCATTGAAAAAGAAACGAAGTAGTGAGTTATATTATAGAGTATCGAGCACTACAAATAATACAGTAGAGAATCCTTTATCTGAAATTCAAAATACAAAACCTCCAAAATCCGAGTGTTGACATGATGTTCAACATGTGCATCATTCAGTGTGCAAGACGTGATCAAGCATCAACAATTACTCACTGACTATCACATATTTTGTGCTCTGTGGTGTGAAGATATTTAAAAATGTCCAAAAAGTTCATAGATAAACAGTGAAAAGAAAGAGGAAGGACCGATGTTTATATAACGAAGTAAGTTTGTCGGAAAAACTTTGGTGCAAGTGCGAAGCGTCTGACTGACGAGTCTGGTGTTGCAACAACCACTGTCTACCACCTGACTGACGAGTCTGGTGTTGCAACAACTACTGTACCACCCGACTGACGAGTCTGGTGTTGCAACAACCACTGTCTCCCACCTGACTGACGAGTCTGGTGTTGCAACAACCACTGTCTACCACCTGACTGACGAGTCTGGTGTTGCAACCACTGTCTACCACCCGACTGACGAGTCTGGTGTTGCAACAACCACTGTCTACCACCCGACTGACGAGTCTGGTGTTGCAACAACCACTGTCTCCCACTGACTGACGAGTCTGGTGTTGCAACAACCACTGTCTACCACCCGACTGACGAGTCTGGTGTTGCAACAACAACCACTGTCTACCACCTGACTGACGAGTCTGGTGTTGCAACAACCACTGTCTACCACCTGACTGACGAGTCTGGTGTTGCAACAACCACTGTCTACCACCTGACTGACGAGTCTGGTGTTTGCAACAACCACTGTCTACCACCTGAAGAAACGGAAGAACAAATTGAGGTTCTCTGCAGAAAGTGATAAATAGAAGTAATGATAAAATAGAAAAAATCCATAGAGGGAAAAAATTAAGATTTCTTTCGTGTATTGATGGAGTGGATTGGTCAGCGTCGAAGTGATCACATGGCCCTTAACGGAATGCTGATAGTGAAACATGCAAAAAATCTATCATTAATAACTGATATTGTAAGTGACAATATTCAGAATACTAGTTACAAAAATTTATTGAAAAATACGCGGCATTAAGTGTTTAACAATTAATGGTGATAACCATCTGTTGATCACGAAGCAAAAGAGAAATTCATTGATGTGTCTGCCAAGATTATTGTTGATGAAAATTAACAGCAAGTCTAAAATGCTGATGACACATCATTGTTCTGGTCTTACTGAAAAAGAAAAACATCGACTATAGCTGATAAGAGTTCCTACAGGAGTTCAAGATGCCAAGAATGTAACTGTGCTGGGATGTGCTAATGCAGCAGTCACATTAAGTGTAAACTTGTTGTGGTAGGCAAGCTTGCGTCCTCGCTATTTTAAAGGTGTGAATACCTTAACGGCCCATTATTATGCTAAGAAAACGTTATGGATCACCAGGGACATCATTTCTGTATTAGTTTCGCAAATATATATATTACAAAATCCATAAAAAATCTAAATCCAAAACACTTCCGGTCCCAAGCATTTCGGATAAAGTATTCTCAACTGTATTATCAATACGTACATTATCATTACTAAGCGCTGAACCGTAAAGGTCATACAGCACCATAGGGTGGGACGTGCTATAGAATGAATATGAGAAGATCAGTAACCAGTGAGGGCTAGGAGTATGCAAAAGGCAAAGTCAGTAAGGATAGTGGGGAGTACAAGATTACAAAGAGATGAATAAATATTAGAAGGGAAAAACAGAGGCAGGTCATTGATAAAAATAGATAAAAAAAAAGTGGTACTAAGAACAACTCTGGGGGACGTCTTTCAGTCTGGAGTCAAAGGGAAAAACACAATAACCCGGACAAAATCTAGGATGCGAAATTCTAAAGAAAAGCGGCAAATTCCTCGAAGGCCTAAAAAAATCAGCTTAGAGCCAAGATGTTGTATCACTATGTTGTGTCATACATTCTCGAGATTGAAAAAAAAAAATAGGCTGCAGTAACCAAGTGTTTACTAGCGAAGGCATTTACGGAAACAGGTATTAAAACGGAGTAAAGCAAAATTGGCAAGTAGAGGGGTAAATATCCGTTAGCAAGTTCTAACAACTTGCAAACTAGATTAGTAAGAGCAATGAGTCGATATTGGGAGGCATAATGATCCTGGCTTATAAAAGGGCAGAACAGTAGCAGCTTTCAATGGACGAGAAAGAATATAACAGCGAAGGCAATGAGCATCACGGCGATCGGACAAGGATGGAATATTCGCTTCTGCATAGAGGCTCTCAACTGGTGAAGAGCGAAAAGCACCGAGGCATAAACGTAATCCCTGGTGATGGATGGGATTAAGGCTAGAAAGAGATGCACGAGAGGTCATCGAATACATCTGGTCGCCATAATCGAGTTTTGATAAAATTAGGGCTGAATGTAGGCGAAGGAGCGTTCTACGATCAGCCTCCTATGAAAGATGAGTGAGGGTTTTAAGAAGGTTCATCTGGCTATGGCAAGTCACTTTCATGAAGGTAATGCGAGATTTCCAGGAAAACCGGCAACCAAACAGAAGGCCGAGAAATCTGACCGTATCACTTTCAGGGATACGCGAGCCATACAGGTACAATGGAGTATCAGGGACGCTTGAATGTCTGAGGAAATTAATTTGGTGCGTTTTAGCACAAGAAAATTTAAACCCATAGAGGCTCAATGGGAAACAGTTGACAGCATTCTAGAGAGGCTGCTACTGGGCAACAGTCAGCGCCTGCACAAGTTATAACAAAGTCATCATCAAAATATTGACCAAATATTAGACGAGAGAACAGATGCCAAATCATTTACAGAGGAAAAAAAAGAAAAAAAGTGGCGCTAAGGACATACATCTGAGGGACACCTTCAACTTTGACAAAGTCCGAGAAAAGCGAATTAACTCAGATAAGTTAAGGAAAAATGGCAGATTGCCTCGGAGGCCTAAGGAGTGAGCTTGGACCAAGATGATACATCTCCAAGTAGTGTCATATGCCTTTTCAAAAATCAAGAGAGACCGTGGTTACTAGCAAAGACATTACTAGGAGAGACTTTTTTAACCAAATACATCAAACGTTTATTTACCAGAAGTTCTATCACCTTACAAACGGCACTGGTAAGAGTAATGGGACGATAGTGTGAAGTATCATGTCTCCAAGTACCTGGTTTATGAAAAGGCAGAACAATAAGATTTCCATGGCTGGGGAAGAACTCCTTGCGACCAATTCAGTTTAAAAAGACATTGGAGGACTGCAAGGGCTGACGGATTTAAATGCTGAAGCATACGAATATTAATGTCAAAGCCCAGCTGCCCGATGACCGGCAAGCGGAGTGTTGACTTCAGTTCCAGAAGTGTAAAAGGCACACAAGACCCTGCTCTGCTATTAGAAAAATCCAAGGTCATTAACTCTCTGGAAAACTTGGAAGAAAGAAACGAGGGGCATAGACTGGGGCCCTTAAGAGATACGGACAAGGGGATTTCCAGTCTCTGCGGCAACTTCAAGAAGGCTTACAATGCCGATATCGGCAACCCGAAGAATGGGTTACCGATACTTTCCTTCCAAACTGCATTCATAGAGGAAGCCGACGTAACAGTATAAACAAACCCCTTCCACCCCCCACCCCCCAGCAAGTGCGTTTAGCTTCACTGATAGGTCGGGCGATCGCTCTTACCCGCTAAAAATCAGTCTCTCTGTAGGCCTATTTTAATAACGGCTTCATACTGCAAGTTTAAAAAAAAAACTGCACAACCATAAGCAGGAGACCAACAAGGCACGTATTTCAGAGTGCCTGCTCAAGATTTCAGGATCGAAAGTGAAGCCGCGGTTAAAACTAAGTCAAAAAAGGGTTTAACAGCTCGTCAGTAGAGGACTAAGAAGATTCCTTACTAAAAACAATTTGACTTGAGTACAGGTCCCATTTCGCTCTTTCATACTGCCAACGTGAGCTTTGAGGAAGGCGACAATACGAATAGGTAGTAAGGAAAACAGGAAAATGATCGTTGTCGTGTAAATCTGGGAGCACAGGCAAGGTAAAGTCAAGTTCAGTGGAGGAAGAGTAAACAGAGATCAGACATATGCAACTCTTGGGTATCTTTATTGAGGAAACGTTTCGCCACACAGTGGCTTCAACAGTCCATACAAAGGAGAATCTTGAAGAACAGGAGGATGAGGTAATCAGTCCCTCAACCTTGAGTCGATGTGGTCAGTCCATCAATCTTGAATAGAATACGGCATACGTGAGGAGAAGGAGCTTATAAACCGTAGCCAGGAGAGGTGCAGCAGTCGTAGGTGGTGTCACATTTGTTCAATGTGGAAGTAGGTCGTGCCCAAGAATTAGGCAAGCGAAGAATTCCCAAGTATTAAGATCCCAAGAAGTTGCAGTGTCTGACAGGTTTGTAGATGAATGGTTCAGAGAACCGACATGTTGATAAATTAGACACATGTGCAACTCTTAATTTATCAACATGTCTGTTCTCTGAACCTTTCATCTACAAACAGAGATCATTGCAAGTGTGTGAGTTTGAGGTCAAAATGGGTGTAGCACCAATATTTAAAACATGGAGGGGAGAGTAGTGAGACGAGTTTAACTGATGGTCTTGAGTCATAGCGAGACCCCCCTCCCCCTCCCCCCAGGAAATGATGAGCATTAATATCTAATAACCGGCGAGGTGACGATAAGAAAAACTAGAAGTGAAATATCTTGAACAGATGAAGCTCGAGAAAGGGAGAATAGACAGTATTACAAAAAATGTTATTTTTAAAGATGGTAGATTTACTCATTTTGTAATAAAGAGTTCGGGATACATAAATACACACATTAAAATCAATTAATCTTTA